CGTTAAACTAGACATACCCAATTCTAGCAACCGTTCCTTATATGTTTTAGCCTCCAGTCCCCTAATCATCTTTGTTGCTCTTCTCTGCACTCTTTCTAGAGTCTCCACATCTTTTTTACATCGTGGTGACCAAAACTAGACGCAGTATTCCAAGTGTGGCCTTACCAAGGCATTGTAGAGTGGCATTAATACTTCACGTGATCTTGATTCTATCCCTCTGTAAATGCAGCCTAGCACTGTGTTGGCCTTTTTGGCAGCTGCAGCACACTGCTGGCTCATATTTAGGTGATTGTCTACTAGGACTCCGAGGTCCCTCTCACAGTTACTACCATTGAGCAAGGTACCCCCTATGCTGTACCTGTACGTTTGGTTTTTTCTTGCCTAAATGTAGATTAATATCAGATCCCACATCTCCCCCTCATCTTACACCCTCCCTCCCCTTCTTTTAGCAATCGTATTTTGTATTATAGTTTTGTACTATTTATATAGTTTTATTTTTTTTAATATTGTCAGCTGCCCTCTGGTGAGCGGCCAGTACATTTAATGAATGAAAGAGTGAGTGAATGACTCAAGGTGCTCAGCCACATGTTTGAATCCTTGCTTCTTCCCCCAGGTGTGGAAGTACCCCAAAGTCTGGGAGGGCTTCATCAAATGCTGCCAGCGCACTAAGCCTCAGTCCTTCCAGGTCATCCTCCAGTTGCCTCCACAGCAGCTCAGTGCCATCTTTGAAAAGTGCCCGGAGCTACGGGAACCTCTGCTTGCTCATGTCCGCTCCTTCACCCCCCATCAGGTAGGGGCATCACACCTAAATAAGACTCTGGACTGCATCCCTGGGTGCTTGGGAGGCCATTTGCCCTGTTTGCTTCAAAACATCCATTCTCAAAGGCAGTTACCAGGGCAGAACTGGATCAGAATTAGAATTGTTAGAATGATTAATATTATTAGAATTAGAATGATTAGAATTAGAAATAGAAATAGAATGATTCTTTATTGGCCAAGTGTGATCGGACACACAAGGAATTTGTCTGCGGTGCAGAAGCTCTCTGTGTACAGTACATGCAAAACAACAAAGTGATAATCACAGATACCAATGGGAAATAGGAAAGATGATATTAATAACACAGCCCTACTACATGGGTAAATATCTTTAGGCATAAGACAATGGTGTGGGAATTAGGTGTTCAGCAGAAGTGGATCTATACCAGTGGTTCTCAACCTTTTTAATGCCGCGACCCCCAACTGGTCATAAGTTGAGGACTACCTAACCGGTCGTAAGTCGAGGACTACCCAACCGGTTGTAAGTCAAGGACTTTCCCTGTCCGAGAGCGCCGCGCATGCGTGGTGCCGCCCCCTGCGCCGGCTGAGGCGTAGCTGGCAAGCAGCAGAGATGGCGCAGGCCGACCACCGGCTGGGCCACCAGCTGGCCCAGCCCAAGGGAGGTAAGGCACCCGCCGGGCCCCACGCGCGCCAGCAACCCTCCTTGCGCCCACTGGCCTCCCACCTCCCACCCCTGGCCCTCTTTTACTTACATTTTGAGTAGTTGCTCAGCAGGGAGGGGTGGAAACTTCCAGACAGCTCGCCTTCGCTGCAGACAACTTGCAGCACCATTTGCAGACTGGGACTTTTGGCGGGCTCAGCAGGGCAGAGACAGCCTGGACAATTCCTATTGGCTCTTGAAAGCCAATAGAATTAGACTCTATTTCCTTAGCACAGCTAAGGAAAAGGGGGAAAAAATGGCGGACTGCGTTGTTTGGCAACCCCCGTGAAATGGTCGTTCGACCCCAAATGGGTTCCCGACCCACAGGTGGAGAACCACTGCTCTATACCAAGATGTTAGTTGAAAAGCTGAGCCCAGGAATAATCTTGCATTTGTGTTTTGGAGTCTCTCTCTGAGAAGTAGGTCGCCTTCTTTTTGCTGCCTTAAGTTCTGCCAGTTGACCTAGCGTCCTTCTCGCCCTCAGCAAGCCCACCTCCCCAATTCCACCATGGCCATCCTGGAGGCCACCAACAAACAGGAAACGGAAGGCAAAGACCTTCAGCCCCTGGAGGAAGGGAGGGGCCCTGCTCCGTCCAGGACGAAGACCCTGCGAAGAGAGAGGGAGGTCAGCACCAGGAGGACGGGTGGGGGGGAAGGGAGTTGAATTATTGCACCGGGCGCCCCCGGATTGTACGGAATTGCAACCGCACCGGGGAAGAGTTTGGCTTTATGTGTTGAAAGGGGAGGGAGAAGAACCGGTTGCCAAGCTAGGATCACGCGAGCATGGGGATGTTGCGACGGTCGTTAAGGGTGAAAAATGGACCTGTCATTTTTTTTCACGGCCGTTGCAACTTTAAACGGGTCTCTAAACGAACTGTTGTAAGTAGAGGACTACCCATTGCAACTAGCTCCCGGGGCTCTTAAACTCCCCAAATAGGTCTGGCCCAGATCTAGTCTGGCCAGATTCTTAAAGGCGCGAAGAACTTCTCTATTAGCTCCTAAAGCCAAAAATCTACTCGATCCCCAGGAAGAAGCAGAACCGCAGCCTCTCCTGCCTCGGGTGTCCCAGGACATGATCGCCCTGCGCCTGGCCCAGGACAAGGCTCTGAAGCGGCAGCTGGAAGAGGAGCAAAAACTGAAGCAGCAGCAGCAGCAGCAGCAAGCTCGTCCTGCTGGCCCACCCACCCCTCTCCCTGCGGAAGAATTGGCGGACCTGCCGGAAGACATGCCCGAACCCGAAGCCGAGACCCCCACCATCTTCATCAGCATGCAGGAGGAAGAGGAGAGTTTTGGGGGGGAGAGCTCACTGCTGGATTCCAGCTTAGAAGGGCCCTGGCCCAGCAAGGTATCCCTCTCTTTCGATTTTGTATTATTATTTTTTTTATTTGTATGCCGCCTTTATTGTTTTGACAAATAAAGCAAGGTGGCAAAGATGTCCAACACACTTTCCACCTCTCATTTTCCCCCCCACCACCACCACCTTGTGAGGTGGGTTGTTGGGCTGAGGGACACGGGCTAGTCCCAAAATCACCCAGCCGGCCTTCATGCCTAAGGCAGGACTAGAACTCACCGTCTCCTGGTGATTGCCCAGTCACCCAGCCAGTTTTCATGCTTAGGGCCAGACTGGAAGTCACCGTCTCCTGGTGATTGGCTCAAAGTTACCCAACCAACCTTTGTGCCTAATGCGGAACTAGAACTCACTGTCTCCTGGCGAGTGGCCTAAAGTCGCCCAGCCGGCTTTCATGGCTAAGTCAAGAGTAGAACTCACCACCTCCCGCTTTCTAGCCTGGTGCCTAAGATCAAACTGGCTCTTTTAATTGAATATATTGAATGCTTGGGGTTGGGGGCTCTTGCAGTCCTCAGTGAAAACCATTGCCCATTTGACTCCAATTCTGGGTGCTGCCATCGTAGCATTTCCCAGCCAAAAACCAGATTACTCCCTCGGATTCCTATTCGGTCGAAAATACATTTGTCTGAAATTCCACGCTTGGCTTTCACTGTTTTTTCCCATGTCTGATTTTGACTCTGATGGGCGTCGCGTTACACTTCCACAGGAGCTGCTCAGCAAGGAAGGGGGTGGCAGCAGCAGCAGCTCAGATGAGGGGTCCTCCAGCAAGACCCCAGCCCTGGCCCCGTCCACCCCTGTCCCAGAAGAGACAGCCAAGGACAGCCAAGCGGCAGAGGCCGGTTCAGCCAGCCCCTCCGAGGAGTCCCCGGCAGCATTGCCAGCACCGTCCAAGTCCAGCACTGAGGAAGAAGAGAAGATGGAGAGTTGATGGGGGGGAGGGATGACCGGGCGGGATTGGGGGGAGACTGGGAAATTGGGGCTCCTGCTTTCTCAATAAAGCACTTCAGCTATCTTTCCTGGTCCTGGTGTGCTTTCTGCAGAGGGAAGCCCCAAAGGAGTTCAGCCACTTTCCCACGTGCAGCAGGCAAATTGAGGGGGTGGGATTCATGCTGTGGGCTGGGGGTCTCCAATCTTGGCAACTTTACGACTTGTGGACTTCAACTCCCAGAATTCCTCGGCCAGCTGGGAGTTGAAGTCTGACAGACTTGAACAATGGGCCCTATCCAACAATCTGAAATTTAATGTGGACAAAAGCAAAGTTTTACATTTAGGCAGGAAAAATCAAAAATATAAGTACAGATTGGGTGAGACCTGGCTCGAAAACAGCCACTGTGAGAGGGACCTTGGAGTCCTAGTGGACAGTCACTTGACTGAGCCAGCCGTGTGCAGCAGCAGCCAAAAACACTAATACAATCCTGGGTTGTATAAGCAGAGGCATAGAATCAAGATCACGCGAGGTATCAGTGCCTCTTTATAAAACCCTAGTAAGGCCACATCTGGAATACTACAGGCAATCACCGTACCACAAAAAAGATGTTGAGAGTTTGGAGAAAATTCAGAGAAGAGCAACTAAGATGATCCAAGGCCTGGAGACTAAAACATGAAGAACGACTGCAGAACTTGGGTTTGGCCAGTCTAGAGAAAAAAACGGGGGACATGATAGCAGTGTTCCAGTATTTGAGGGGCTGCCGCCAAGAAGAGGCGGTCATGTTCACGAAAGCATCAGAGGGAAGGACGAGAAGCAACGGATGGGAACTAATCAAGGAGAGGCAACCTGGAACTAAGGAGAAACTTCCTGACAGGACAATTAACCAGTGGAACAGCTTGCCACCAGGGGTTCTAGGTGCTCCATCACTGGAGGTTTTTAAGAAGAGGCTAGACAGTCACTTGTCTGAAATAGTATAGGTTCTGCTTGAGCAGAGGGCTGGACTAGAAGACCTCCGAGGTCCCTTCCAGCTCGAATCCGAATCTGCCCGCGCAACCCCCAACTCCTTCACTCGTTGCTAAGGCGACCGCCTCCCCCGTTGCCAAGCCCAGCCCGTACCGCGCGCCGTTGCCCGGCAACCCCCCCACCAGCCGCGTCGCCCGCGAAGGGCGGCCTCTGCTGCCCAACTTCCGGCGCCCGGAGGTGAGCGAGGGGTCGCGACTTCCGGGAGGCGGCGGCCGGGCGGGAAGATGGCGGCGGCGCTGGCTCCCCCGGCGCCGGCCCCGGACGGAAGCGCCCCGCCGGCCCCGCCGCCGCCCCCGCCGGCCCCGCCGCACGAGGTCAAGAGCCAGGTCCGCACCCGCGAGGGCTCCTACCGGCTGCTAGGCGGCCCCGAGCCGCGCGCCCGCCCCGCCGCCGCCCCCGGAGCGCCCGCGCCCCCCGCCGGGGCCCTCGCGCCCCCCGCCGGCAGCGCCGCCCCGCCGCTGCCGCCCGCCGGAGCCCCCGCGCCGCCCGCCCCGTCGCTGCCGCCCGTGCGCCTCTCGCTGGTGCGGCTGGGCCTGGCGGGCGGAGGCGGCGGCGAGCCCTGCGCGGACGGCGAGGCGGGCGGCCCGGGCGCCGAGCGGAGCCGCGTCTGCTTCAACCTGGGCCGGGAGCTCTACTTCTACTCGGGCGTGGCGGGCGCGGCCGGGCGGGGACGCAGGGTGAGCCTAGGGGCGGGGGGCAGCAGTCGCGGGGGGGGGAGGCTGGAGAGGGAGGGGCGGTGCAGGGGTCCTCTGGGGTGGGGGGGATGGCAGTCAAGGGGGGTGTCAAGAGGATTTGGGGAGGGGGGAGCCGGTGTGGGTGATGGGCAAAGCTGGAGGGTTTGGGCAAAGAAGGGGCAAAGCAGAATTGCCCTGGGAGGGCGGGGGCAGCAGTCGGGGGGTGGGTGGGCTGAAGAAGGAGATCCAGGGCTGGAATGGGCACTGGAGGGGTCACCCCGGGTGGGGGTGGATGGAGGCGCCCAGGTGTGGGGGTGTAAGGAGGACTTGTGGAGCCCCAGGGAGGGAGAGGCCGTGTGGATGATGGGGAATGAAGAGGCAAAGCAGAATCATGGGGGGGGGGATGAAGTGGGGCTGCCTTGATGGGGCTTCTCCAAGAATTTGCTGGCGGGGAAGCCCCAGAGGTGCTTTTTCCAAAAAGGCAACTGAACTTTCTTGGTTTTCTTTGAAAACCTTTTGCTTCCCACCCAAGAAGCTTCCGACTAAATGTCTGAACTGAAGAAGCTTCTTGGATGGGAAGCGAAACCTTTTCAAAGAAAGAAACCCCAAAAGTCCAGTTGCTTTTGGAAAAAGCACCTCTGGGCCAAGCATGACCTGGATGAGCGAGGCTCTCCACAGGCAAGGTAGCTTCCCTAAAATTGGAACATCCAGTGCGGGTGTTTTGACTAATAAAGAACTACTTCCTTAGTAACGTAGTCAAAGTAGCAAACCTAAAAAATTTTGGACCAACGATAGGCAAGCATGAATTATTCACGGCTGTTATAAAAAGCATGAATTATTCACGGCTGTTATAAAAAGGCTTAGGACCAGCCAGAGCAAGTGACCAGCACTTTTGTGGTGCGCCTTCCTTTCCAGCTTTAGATTTCTTGCCTCTTGCTTTTTTGTTTGTTTGTTTTTTAACCTGTTACCTTTCGTGGTCTTCCAGTCCATCGATCTGAAGAAACCCATCGACAAGCGGATCTATAAGGGGACGCAGCCCACCTGCCACGACTTCAACCAGTTCACGGCGGCTTCCGAGAGCATCTCTCTCCTGGTTGGCTTCTCAGCCGGGCAAGTGCAATACTTGGATCTGATCAAGAAAGATACCAGTAAACTCTTTAATGAGGAGGTAAGTCCAGGGGAGCATTATTTACACTATAGAGCAGGAGTGTCAAACTCAATTTCAAAGAGGGCCGCATCAGCATTACGGTTGCCCTCAGCGGGGCCGGATGGGTGTGGCCAATGTGGGTGCGGCCTACTGGTGGGCATGGATGGAGTGGGTGTGGCCTACTGGGTGGGCATGGCCATCTCTACATCGTTCGCATGAAGGGTGGCTGGGCAGGAGTGGGACAGATCTGAGGGTCTCTGGCAGAAGGGGGGTGGGACCGGGGCAAGCGCCAAGGCATGGTCCACTGGAGGAGCCTCACTGTTCCTCTCAGGCCATGCGGGGGGGGGGAGGGCTCATGGAGCTAAGACTGAATGCGTTTCAGCATAGATGGCCACCACAAAATTGTACATTGGCTCCCGGCCGGCCTGGGCCAGGGCCAAGGCAATGGGGGCCGTTCCCTCACTGTTTCCAGGATGGCTTCGCGGGCCACATGAAACCACTTCGCGGGCCGCATCCGGCCCCCGGGCCTTGTGTTTGACAGGTCTGCCATAGAACATAATTGGAGGATCGCTGCAGGGATTTTTCGGCTCAGCCTGGCTCCATTAAGTGGGAACAGGCAGCTAATAGCTTCTTGATAGCTGACATTGTTGTATCCTACATCTCTGGCTGGTGCTTGATGGAGAGTTCTAGAACAGAACATCTGGAGAACACTCTCCTTCCCTATGTCTCTCTTGTTTTCAGTCTCTTAATGACTTCCTTCATTACCGATTCTAATCAGCAAATTAATCAAGCTGCAGCTTTATTGCAGCAATTCTTAAGACCGTACGGCTTGTGGCTTTGGAGCTTTGACAGAAAGATGACTCAGAGATTCAGCAAATCCACTGTCGTAGAACCGTGCCCTGGAGAAGAAGCCATTAACCCCTCAAATTTGGCTCGTAGATTGCAACCTGCTGAAAGTGCGGAGGCTGAGATGGCCCCACAGTCTTCTGTGCTTAATGGAAGCATCCAGTAGGCCTTGATCCATCCCACCTCTCTGATTCAGCCTTTGTTTTACATGCTCCCCATGCGAAGTAGGAATTCATAATAATCGGGCTATTTTTCATGTTTTTACTCTTTTGTTGTTTTAAAATGTTCTTAGTCTTTTTTAATTCTAATGTATTTTTTTGGGAACTGTAAGCTGGCCAGAGTCATTCACTGAGATGGGCAGCTACAGAAATTGAATAAATAATAATAATAATTCTAGACAACCTCCGTCATCTAGCAAATTGGGGGTGACTTTCAGAAAAGGAGAATTGGGCCTGCTCAGAATTTGCCTTGGGGACCAAATCCCGAGGGTCTTTTTCATCTTTGTTTCTGGCTCTTTTTGCCTTTCCTGTCTTTCCTTAGAGGCTCATTGACAAGTCAAAGGTCACCTTTGTGAAGTGGATCCCCGAATCGGAGAGCCTCTTCCTGGCCTCCCACGCCAGCGGTCACCTGTACCTATACAACGTGGAGCAGCCCTGCGTCTCGGCCGCCCCCCAGTACACCCTCCTCAAGCAAGGCGAGGGCTTCACGGTTTACGCCTGTAAGAGCAAGAACGCCCGGAACCCGCTCCTGAAGTGGGCGGTGGGCGAAGGGGCCCTGAACGAGTTCGCCTTCTCGCCCGATGGCCGCTACCTGGCCTGCGTCAGCCAAGACGGTTGCCTGCGCGTCTTCCATTTCGACTCCATGCTGCTGCAGGGCATGATGAAAAGTTACTTTGGGGGGCTGCTCTGCGTCTGCTGGAGCCCCGACGGACGCTACATCGTGACGGGGGGCGAAGACGACCTGGTCACGGTTTGGTCCTTTGCAGAGGGCCGGGTCATCGCCCGGGGCCATGGCCACAAGTCCTGGGTTAACGCAGTGGCTTTCGACCCCTACACCACCAGCAAGGAGGACGACGAGAGTGGGGAGCTGAGCGGCAGTGACGAGGATCTCCAGGAAACGTCTGAATTCCGGCGGGTGAGGACCAGCAGCACCCTCTCCCACCTGTCCAAGCACAGTGCCAAAAGCACCCCCTCAGTCACCTACCGATTTGGGTCCGCTGGGCAGGACACCCAGTTCTGCCTCTGGGACCTGACCGAAGACGTCCTGTACCCTCACCACCTCCTGCCCCGCACCCGAACGCTCACCAACACCTTTGGCGCCGGCATTCCTCCCTCGGGCAGCGGGGGCAGTAACCTGGCCGCCGAGTCGGGCGGCGGAGGGGGGCCGCTTCCCCGCTCCCTCTCGCGCTCCAACAGCCTGCCGCACCCGGCCGTCACCAGCGCCGCCAAGAGCCACGCGGCCGACGGGACGGTGCCCTTCAGCATCGGCAAATTCGCCACCCTCACCTTGCAGGAGCGGCGAGACAAAAATGCAGAGAAAGAGCACAAACGCTACCACAGCCTGGGCAACATCAGCAAGAGCAGCGACAAGCTGAACGTGGTGCCGAAGAGCAAGCTGGACACGGCCAAGGTCCTGGGCACGGCCCTGTGCCCCCGCATCCACGAAGTGCCCCTGCTGGAGCCGCTGGTGTGCAAGAAGATCGCCCACGAGCGGCTGACCGTCCTGCTCTTCCTGGAGGACTGCATCATCACCGCCTGCCAAGAGGGGCTGATCTGCACCTGGGCCAGGCCAGGCCAGGCGGTAAGTGGGCCGGCCTTCTCCCTCCTTCTCCCTCTCCCTCTCTTCCCTGCCCCCCCCAGGGAAGCCATGGCTGCTTTGCCAACTGGTTACTGCTTAAAGGCCCTGTTCAATGTTTGAGCCTGGATCGGCCAGCGCTCCTTGGTAGGCTGGGCTGGGACTGGATAATGGCAGTCCTCGGCTTGCAGCCGCAATTGAGCTCAACTTGCCAAGCAAGGTGGGTGTTAAGTGAGTCCCCCCCCATTTTATGATCTTTTCGGCCAAGGCTGTTAAGTGAATCACACGGTCGTTAAGCAAATACAGCTTCCCCCGTCGACTCTGCTTGTCAGGGGGCGTCTGGGAAGGTCACAAACGGCGATCAATGACCCCGGGACGGTGCAACCATCGTAAATAGGAGCCCGTTGCCCAGCATCTGAATTTTGATCACGTGACCCCAGGGGAATGCTGCAACGGTCGTTAAGTGTGAAAGCAGGTCACAAGTCACTTTTCACTGTGCCGTTGTAACTTTGAACAGTCACTAAATGAACTGTTGTAAGTCAATGACTGCCTGTAATTTGAGAGTCCCTATGTCTGAGGAGCCCAGTTTTCGCCTTACTACGCTGTGTGAAGCAAGCCATCGATTTACAGTATCCTATCGCTGGTTTGTTTGGGGGGAGGAGGAGGAGGAGGAGGAGGAGGAGGAGGAAGAAGGGGTGGTGAGCAGGGGAGGAGGAAGAAGGAGGGGTAGTTGGTGCTCCCTCAGCTTGGTGGCTTTCATTACCAAACTAGGTAACCTCATCAGTGCACCGGTATTCTGATCTACCAATATTCTCTTTGTGCTTGGTTCCTGCTTGAGATTCCCTCGTGTGCGAACATGGCTTCCCTTATATCTAGCAGCCTAACTGAGTTTAGCCTTTATTCCCCAGCAGGTTTGAAACCTGTTGGTAGGTCCAGTGATCACTAGATCCCCTAAGCCTGTCTGGTGGCGGATCCAGGTAGAAAAGCGGAGGACAATGGCTTGCTTAACTGCAAATGGCCAAAATGACGGGCTAGCAGGAAGACGTCGCGGGCTAATTAGTAGACAGAAGGCAGGCGCGACCCCGCAGATTAATTCCACGTCTGCCGATTCACCCCACGTGACTAAAAAGCCACCTTGATATTTAAACTCGTCTTCCACTTTGGTTTTTCAGACCCTGAATTCCCACAATGGGGGCTCTCCCAGCGGCACAATCGTGTAATCGGCACTAACTCAACGCTCGGCTGCTCTCCGGTTTGGAACCGGAGAGGGACTGTTTGCTCCAAGGAGGAAACCTGACCAAGAGGGGACAGTTTCCCGACATTTTCGACGTGTGTACAGGTTGTCTCTTCCTTCCCTCGCCTGTGAAACCCGACTGTGTGGCAATTGGAATCCTAACCGTTAACCTCTCGAGACCAACAACGTAGTGCAGGACGACTGATACCTCTCCGCTATTTAAAAGTATGAATTAACAAACTCATTATTTAATGCTAAGGTTTGAGCACAGAGTGCTGGAGGGGCAGATTTTGCACAAGGGTGAACTGAGCTGCCCCCCTCCCTCCTCTTCCCCCCCCCCCCACTTCACCCAGACAGAAATTCTGGCCGGCTTTCGGCTGTCTTGGCTCTGACCCATCCCATCCTTTCCTAAACTCCATCTTCCTGGCTGCTTGGGGGGGGGAGGAACCCCCAGAAGGAATCTGTTTTATACAGGGGAGATAACACTAATTCCCTACCGTGTGTAACAGTCCTTGTCTGCCCCCTATCCACCCCCCCTCCTTTGCTTTAATGGACAACCATAATTCCATTTTTGCCCAAGAAATCCCAGTATTTCTGCTGACTGGAGGTAGCAGTCATACCTGTGTCCAGAGGGTAGTTCTTCCTTTCTAAGTGGATGGTCCTCCTCCCAGTTCAGCCAACGGACTCCTAAGGACACTCCTTCAGTCTTTCAAGATCCAGCACGATACTGCCAAGGAATTCTTGCCATCCGTTGTTTCCGCCGTCTTTTGTTGTGTTGTGGACCTCGGCTTCGGTTTCCCGCCTCCATCTCGGAAGGATCCTCAGAATTCCTCTTCAAGCGAAACGGATTTTCTTTCCATTGGTTGGGTCCTTGGACCGTTGGCTACTACTTGATGGTACTCAAGGACAGCTTGCTACACCGGTCCGCTCCGGTCCCCGACCCCCCCCTCCCTCGGATTGGGGTCTCATTGTTGGGAGAGCAGTCTCTGGCCAAATCCGATCCTTTCTCTCTCTCGACACTTGTTTGTCGTTGCTGCCTGTCCTGCCGATTAGCAAATGTACATATTTATGCATCGGCGATCCCAGCACATCCACTGTTGATTTGCATAGACTCATGGTACAGTCGTTAAACACACACACACCACATGTCTGCATCCAGACCGGGGCTTCTCAAATTCAGCCCCTTTTAAGGTGTGTGGACTTCAACTCCCAGGATTCCCCAGCCAGCCATGAGTACAGGAGTCCACAAATCTTAAGTTGCTGAGGCTAAGAGGCACCGGTCTAGTCTACGTAGTGGCAGCATCTGATGCTTGTCCGGTCAGTTGCTTAGCTTGCTTAGCTTAGACTCGGAGACGGCCTGCTGTGGAAGTTGTCAGAGGTTTTTGGTCACAAAAAGTCAATCTGTAGGATGGTTCGTGGCAAACCCTGGCTTTTGGAGCTGCCGTTCTCCATCTTGATGTGCCAGACTAATGAATGTTGGTCTCGCAGTGGTCATGAGGGCTCCTTGTTGCTGTCTGAGCTTGCTTGTTTTGCAGCTTGCTTGTTTTGTTTGTTTTGCAAAACGAGCTTGCTAGTTTTGAGCTTGCTTGTTTTGTTTGTTTCATTACCCAAACTAGGTAACAACATCAGTGCTAGTAAACCTCCCTCCTTACCAGCCACTGATGATGTTACCTAGCTTGGTAATGGGACGTCTGCAAAAACACCACCAAGCTCAGAGCACCAAGGAGCCCTCATTTCAACCCTGTGCTGCAAATATTCTCCTTTATTGCGATGTGGTCGTGTTCCTGGGTCGGTTATTTGAGTCAGTAGAGTAGAGCGCACTTCTCAACCTCAGCAACTTTCAACTGCAGAATTCCTCAGCCAGGATGCATTCTGGGAGTTGTGAGTCTAAACAGCTGGAGGTTGCCAAGGAAACAGTGGAATAGATTTTGAATTCTCGGTGTCTCTTGGGTTCAGACTGATTTAGGGTTCAGGTTGCCTAAGGTGAATTTTCAGAAGTTGTGCCGTGTTTACAAAAGCTTCTCCAAAACAGATTCGGAGCCAACCAAAACATTTTTAAAAGCGTTTTAAACTTAGCATGGAATCTCGAAAATATCCCAACTATGCTCTGGGCCAGTGGGCAATTAAGGATAGTCTTCATGTCTTTTTATTTATACAGAGAGAGAGAGGGAGAGAGAGAGAGAGAGGTGTTGCTGGAATTGTATTAAAAATATGGATAAGTATAAATATCAAAATACGTACATTATCTTCGGCAAGTGTCTTTCCTTTAAAAAAAGACACATTATGGTTGGCTTTGAATCAGTGGTCGGTTGCAACAGGGCAGATTTTTTAACCAGTTTAGTTTCCCGGCAAACTTGATCAGTGGAAAAAAAAGTAAGAGTTTGGCTCACTTTTAGAGGCTATGTAAGATAGAAGTGAGGTATAAATGAAGTAGGATTTCTACACATGCCACATTGAATTTTTTTTTTCCTGTTAGAGCGGTGTTCCTCGGCTGGCTGAGGAATTCTGGGAGTTGAAGAGCACTCATTCTCAAGTGACTAAGGTTGAGAAAAGAGGTTTATAGAGATTCTCAGTCATCCAAGGTCCTGGTTGTCCCAAGGATGCTTTTTCACGAGGCAACTGGACTTCCTTTAGTTTTCTTTGAAGACCGTTTTGCTTGCTGGATGAGAAGAAGCAGCTTCTTGGATGAGAAGCGAAGGGTCTTCAGAGAAAAACAAAGTCCAGTTGCCTCGTGAAAAAGCATCTTTGGGACTGCATTAGGGAGTCCCTTAAGTCTCCGTGGGAAGAGACTCCGTGTCTCTACAAATTGGTCTCCTCCGTGGTCTTTGTAGCTTACGCGCAGTCAGAGCTGCGTCTTGGCGCATTCAAATATGCTCCATCTGATTTTGCTGATAGCCGGGGCAGCTGTTTGGGTTAAAAACCAGAATCTTGATTAAGCCGTAGGAAGAGTCGCCCGCTAGGAGCGATTTTTAAAAGCCAGTTGAGGCTAGAAGTGGGTTCAAATGTTTGTGGCTTAGCTGGTTCTAATCACGGCTGTTCCGTACACCCACTTGGGACAACATTCATCACTCGCAATTTCCTTTCTGATCCGGGCAGCCTGTAAAAAAGCCTGCATTCGTTCGTCAAGTAGACCAGGGTTTATCCCGATCACTTGATAAACTTCCATACCGACAAGGAATCGTTCGCTGCACCACCGGCTTTGTTCAATTCATCTTTGGCTCTGCAAGTTGCAAAAATTCAGCCCGGCAAACAAAAGGCGCCCGTCCCACCCCAGGGCAGACAGAGGACTGAACGACCACAGGCGTGTCTCCTCTCCCCCAGGATGAAAAAGCCATACAACCACGGACCCCAACCCCCATCCCAAAGTGAAGGGAGGGGGAGGAAAGGAGTACCTCCTTTTCCCACCCGATCTGCTTGGATTCTTGGCGGCGAGACAGAGGGACCTCAGAAAAACAGTATTAATTTGCTTTTCCTTCCTCTTTCCCTGACCCCCCCCCCCATGCATGTCTGGCCCCCGTGACCTTTGCAAGAAGCCAGCTGGTGTCTGGCAGCCAAGTTCTCCCCCCCCCCCCGTGTCCTTTGTCCTCCTTACTCCCCAACTTCGCAGAACACATATGGAAGCTGCCGATGCCTTCCTCCCCCCCCCCCCGGTGCCTTTCGTCACTTTACTACCTGCTCTAAACGTTTGTTACTGTTGTGTCTGAAAAAGCGTTTAAATTATAGAAATGGTGAATGCCTATTTATACTAAAGAGACCGTTTTCACAGCTCAGACTTCCCCGAGGCTTGTTGATTGCTGGCGGATTGGGGAAGGCAGTTTGCGGGAGGGGGGGATCAGACCACAGGTAGCCCTTAACTTACAGCCCTTGACTTACAGACTTGCTAAGCGCCTGGATTTGGATCACGTGACCACATAGATGCTGCGACGGTCGTTAAGCGTGAAAGGGCCCTAGGTCGCTTTTTCCATCGCTGCTGTAAATCCGAACCGTTGCTAAACTGTTGTTAAGTCAAGGAGTACCTGCAAAGAGTGAAAATCCTGATGGGAAGGGATTGTGGAAACCCAACTGCTTGAGTCTGATTCCTTGCACATGTGTGTGTGCGCGCACGCATCTGTCCACACTCACACCCACACATACAGGACACTTCTTCTGTCACAGCCATCCCACAAAGAGCAGGAAATAATCTGAGTTTATTCCTACTAAAAAAAAAACACACAAAAAACAAGAGAACATCCTCAACTCAGGAGTGGCAGAACGTACAGTGTCTTCTTGCACCCAGCCAATGCGCCACGTTACACGGAGGAGGGAATAATAAATATGGGGGTGTGGAAAGTGAGAGACACCCAGAGGGGCTTAAGTGAAAGACGCTAAACTAACGGTTTGCCCCCCCACACACATAAGCTAGGTTTTGCTTCCATGCACTTTTGTTTTATATAAACATGCATACAATCTTCCAAACGTAGGGACTAGAGCAGTAGTTCTCAACCTTTCTAATGCCACGACCCCATAATACGGTTCCCCATGTTGTGGTGACCCCCAACCACTTATACATCACTGGGTGCCAGGGGCGTGGCCAAAGAAAAGGGGGAAAAATGGCGGACAGCCTTGTTTGGCGACCCCCATGAAATGATCGTTCGACCCCAAATGGGGTCCCGACCCACAGGTGGAGAACCACTGGACTAGAGACTTGGGTCTCCAGCTTTGAGGCAGAAAGGGCTGCCACATCGCCTCGCCATTACCAAATAACTTATTAACAAGTGGGTGGGTTGAACCCTGGAGTGCTGCAGAACTGGCTGGTTCCAAAGTGGACAAGTGCAGATAAAAATAGTGTCTGGCGGTTTAAAACTCGCATCCCCCCCCTGTGGAGTCCATGGGCACCATAAGGCCTTGCAGGGGGGTAGGTTTTTTTTTTTTTTTTTTTTCTGGCCTTCAAGCCAAACTTCGAAGCACGACTGGAAAGCCCACGTTACAGCTGGCCGAGTGCCCCATTCGGCTAATTCTGAAAGAGTCGGGCTTTGCAAGCCCACCGGGGCAGGTGGGTGCTTCTTTCTCATTGGGAAGTTGCCACTTCTGGTGGGTCACCGAGGAAGGCATGCCCTTCTCCTGCCACTGGCCCTCCCAACCCTCATCTCCCAAAGGGGCATCAGGTGCAGAATGACCCATCGTGTGACCGGAACGGCAAAAGTCACGGGAAGAAACTTTTGTTTTGCCAGCTGAAAATTCATTTTCAGCGGCCTGGTGGGAAGAATCGCAGCATCCCAGACGAAGCAATTTTGGCACAGCAGCTCCGTCTCAGCTTTTGGGAGCCCCTAACAGCCTTTGGGGGGGGGGGGACGAAGCATGTTTTCACCGCAAAGTGCCATCCAAGATGGAGGTGTTTTCTGTAGGAGGGTCTGTACAGAGAGTGCAAAGATGTTTGGAAAGCAGGATCCCTGGGTTGACTCCAGCTCCTGCTGCTTCCCCTGGCGTTCTCCATGGGGACGGTGGGTCAGTGGTCTTGGCCTCTGGAAGCAAAGAGAGCAGCCAGGAGAGAACCAGAGGGGCAGCTGGACCTCAGGGGCCTGGCCTTGCCATCTTGGCCCAAGGGAGTCCTCCGTCAAAGGGGTTTGTCCCCATTTCTAGGGTTTGCTGGGGCAGCAGCAAGCAGCTGGCGTGCCCGGCTCTTCCTTGCCCCGGCCAGTGTTCAAACGGTTTCCGCTCGGCCCCAGTTGGAGGCATCCAGTCCCAGCCCACCGTTGCACAGGAGCAGGTATCCCACGTGGACGATGCAGGGTCTACGTACCTGGAAAGGGAATGCAGAACTGGTCAAGATGCCAGGCCCCCAAAGAGCTCTCGAGATTGCAGAGACCCCATCCCACCCCCTCCTGGTCTGGGCACGGAATGCCAGGAGCAGTCCATGCCGTGTGCAGCTGAAAGAGCTGAGGTCCACCTCTTAAATCCCCAGTCTCTGCAGCTGAAACACACTTTTCGTCTGAATTACACGATTGGAACCCAGGTTTCAATGCGGCAAATATTCTCGGCCCAGTTTGAGCAACGGATGTCCGGATGCTTCAAGATAAAAGTCTACTCAACCTGGCCAAAATATCTGGGAGAGTCACCTCAAATAATCCGCTCGGGCCACGCTCTGAAAAAGAAAGACTTAGGAATGTCGGGAGAGTTTTTTTAGCTTGGGAAGGAAGTGTCGGGGGGGGGGATAGAAACACAGGCTTGTAAAACTATGGGGGGGGGAGAGAAATTTTGGTGGGAAATTCAGGACCAAGGAAACCATTTATGGTTAGTCTATAAAAGTTCTGCAAGGCAAGGGGATGATTGCAAACTGGAACAGCTTCAAAATTAGCCTCTTTAAATACATTCTGGGGTCAGGGGTTATAAGGTTCTGTGGAATATTGGTTGCGAAGGTGGAGAGAATGATGGATTGGGTGGGCTTTCTAACACCCATCTAGGAAGACTGGACAGCCACCTGCCTGAAAACAGTATAGGGTCTCGTGCTTGAGAAGGAGGTTGGACTAGAAGACCTCCAAGGTCCCTTCCAGCTTGATTATGCTGAGGCCATAAAACTCTAGTGGGAGTCAGGCATTATCCATCTTGCAATTCCTTGATTTTCTGACTCCAGATTCTTAAAGCTGGAACAAAGCTTCTCAAGGGAGAAGGCAGCTAAGCAGAACGGTCAATCGTGCAGAGACAGAACGGTCAACCTCCCCAGGTTCAGAAGCCTGCAGGTGCCCCAGAGGTCTTGCGACAGGCGGACTTGTGGCCTGACCGGCAAGGGCAAAACGAGAGTATCCGATGGGCTTCGAAGTTCTCTCGGCACCCACAAAGGAAGGAAAGGGTGTGTAGAAAACAGACACAGACCCACAGCTAGCTGAAGGCATGCACTGGGAGAGCGCTCAGAGCGAGAAGAGGAAGCAGCGTGCGTCCCAAGAGAGCAGCCGACGTACCCTCGAAAAGAGCAGCAAGTGCCGGTACAGAGGTACCACAAGCGGGTATTCACAGAGCCGGGATGCCGCGGTGCCACTTTGCTGAAAAGAGAAAGCAGAGGTCAACGTCAGCAGGGCGCAGCGTCCACCAACGGGCAGCAAAGGGGTGGCCTGTATTCCTTGCACAATCCTGTAGCCCCTACAGAACGTTCACAAAGCCAAGTTCCTAGTCCTCTTGAAAAGAAAACCCCTCGCTGCCGTTTTCTCCAGTTCTTAACCTAGCTGGCGGCTCTTTAAAAGAGACAAAATGTTCAGATGGGGGAAGGAAAGTATCAGAGTCCAGGAAAAGAGGTGCGACCCCCCCCCTAAAATCCCAGCAAAGCAAGCCCCAACGGGTCTCCTTCCCCCTAAATCCCCCTTTTTTCCCTCTCCCACAGAGTCTTACATGAGCTGGCCGTTCCATGCAGTGGAAGAAAGGCTGGGTGAGGTTGGGGGGCCAGGATGGGCTCCAGCCTAAAGCAGCTGGAAGGAAAAGAAAAAGGTGGGGCCGTGGGCCTCTCAGCAGGTGGCTGGGACACGCATCCACGCTCAAATGCATGGGGCAGGCAAGCGGCTGCCTCGGGCGGAAATCACTGCACTCCCAAGTGCAAAGCCTCATGCGTTGCATGCTAGGGATCCTCTTCGCGTTGTTGAGTGGATTTTCTCCCATTTTATAACCTTTCTGCCCCAGTTGTTAAGCAAATCACTGCAGCTGTTAAGTGACTCTTTCAGTTGTTAAGTGAATCTGGCTTCCCCTATTTATTTTGCTTGTCGGAAGCCAGCTGGGAAGGTCGCAAGCGATCACAGGACCCTGGGACAGTGCAACCGTCACGAGTACATGCCAGTGGCCAAGCATTTTAATTTGATCCCGTGACCAGAGGGATGCTACGACGGTCATCAGTGGGACATAAGTCTGTCTTTTCAGTGCTGCTGGTAACTTCAAACAGACACTAAACTAACGGTTGTTAAGTTGAGGGCAACTTGTACTTCTGGGGGTGCCCCAAGTCGCCCCGGGGAGCAAGTAAGGCCAGAGCTGGTCAGGATGGTGAAGAGTCTACAGAAGAAGACAGGACTTGCCCTCCTCGTGCGCTGCTTTCATGGCTGCCATCTGGTCCTTCAAGTGTTTGATCTGAGCTTCCAGTTCCACATTTCGGCTCTCGGCGTCCTTTAGCTGGCTGGGTGGGGAGGCGGGAGGGGAAAAAAAACAGGGTCAATAGAAAGTCGGGGTCTTTTGGAGGGCTAGTCATGCTGGCTGGGGAATTCTGGGAGTTGAAGTCCACAAGTCTTCCAATTGCCAAGATCGGACATCACTGGACCAAACGGTCTGGTCTTTTGTGGACTTCTAAGCCTCCTTGCTCAGCTGGAGAAGATGGTGACGATCCAGAGCAGTGGTTCTCAACCTGTGGGTCGGGACCCCATGTGGGGTCGAGCGACCATTTCACGGGGGTCGCCAAACAACGCAGTCCGCCATTTTTTCCCCCCTTTTCCTTAGCTGTGCTACTCCCTTTTATTCTATTGGCTTCTGAAAACCAATAGAATAGACTCTCTTGAATAGAGTCTAATTCTATTGGCTTTCAAAAGCCAATCGGAATTGTCCAGGCTGTCTCTGCCCTGCTGAGCCCGCCAAAAGTCCCATTCTGCAAACGGTGCTGCACCAGTTGAGTAGTCCTCGACTTACAACCGGCTGAGTAGTCCTCGACTTACGACCGGTTGGGGGTCGCGGCATTAAAAAGGTTTAGAACCACTGATCCAGAGGGACATCTGACCAGGGACATCTCCTAGATCCCTCCCTGATGCCTCCCTAAGGCAGTGTTTCCCAAACTTGACAATTTTAAGGCATGTGGACTTCAACTCCCAGAATTCCACAGCCAGCGTTGCTGGCTGTGGAATTCTGGGAATTGAAGTCCTCGTGCCTTAAAATTGTCAAGTTTGGGAAACACTGCCCTAAGGGGTTGTCCACCAGGAATGATTCAAAAGTCAAGGCAATGGCCAGGCATGATCAAAGCTTGACTTTTTTGGACCACAGAGCCCACACACACACACACACACACACACACACACACACACACACCCGCCTCTACAGCTCACCTGGCAAAAGTCTGGTTGGCCACTTTGATCACGCTGAGCTCTTGACACAGCAACTCCCGGCTTTTCAGTTCCTCCTCGAAGGCTGCCTGCAGTTCGAGAAACATGGACTGGTCCAGCTTCTGCCCATCGGGCAGTTTACGTGCCTAGCAGGAAACACAAAGAGCGGTTGTGTTAACACCGAATTGAGCATCGCATTGTCTTTACGGCCTCCGCCGCATCTCCAGATGATGCTAATAAAACCCAGCACTGCGCTTAAGCATTAGGCAATGTTCGTCATAAGGATCAGCCAGTTGCTCAGCATCTGGATTTTTTAATCACACGATCATGGGGATGCTGGAAAGGTCGTAACTATGAATGTTTTCCTTGTTGTTAATTGCGAAGTCATGTCCGACCCATCGCAACCCCATGGACAATGTTCCTCCAGGTCTTCCTGTCCTCTACCATCTTCTGGAGTCCATTTAAGTTCACCCCTACTGCTTCAGTGACTCCATCCAGCCATCTTATTCTCTGTCGTCCCGTTCTTCTATTGCCCTCAATCTTTCCCAGCATCAGGCCCTTCTCCAGTGAGTCCTTCCTTCTCATTAGGTGGCCAAAGTATTTGAGTTTCAACTTCAGGATCTGGCCTTCTAAACAGCAGTCGGGGTTGATCTCTTCTAGGGCTGACCGGTTTGAACGCCTTGCAGTCCAGGGGACTCGCAGGAGTCTTCGAATGTGGTCCTAAGTCACTTTTTTCAGTTGTAACTCTGAATAGTCATTAAACAAACCATTGAGGACTAGCTGTATAACAGTCTCTCGTTTTCTGAGTACACCTAATGCTTGTGTACTGGAGGCAAATTCCAAATAAATAAGGTGTAAGCACACATATCCACAGAGGTATAAAAATAAATAACAAATACACAATTGCCACCGAGACAAGATAGAGAATTCCCTTTTTTCTACCCACCAGCTCCTCCAGAGGTGTTTCCTGCGCTTCGCCTGAGGGCATCTTCCCAGCAGCCTCCACCTCCATGGCGATGGGACCTCGGTCTCGTCCCTCGGCATGATTCTGTCTGAGAGGAAGGGAGAGTCTCACAGACCTTGTCTCGCCAGCCACGGCATCTGCACAAGTAGCCCTCGACTTGTGACCGTCCCTTTAGTGACCGTTCAGAGTTATAACGGCACTGAAATCAGGGACAAAAGCATTTTTCACACGATCGTTGCAGCCTCCCTGTGGTTATCTGATCAACCCTCGGACGCTGGGCAACTGGCTCAAATTTATGAAGGCTGCCCTGTCCTGGAGAGGGTCACGTGATCTCCTTTTGTAACTTTCTGACCAGCAAAGTTAATGGGGGAAGCCAGATTTGCTTAACGACCGTGTGACTAATTTAACAGCCGCAGGGGTTCCCTGAACAATCAGGGCCAGAAAAGTCGAAAACTGGGTCAAATGTACTTAACATCTGTCTCACTTAGCAAAAGAAATTTTGGGCTCAGTTGTGGTTGTAGGTCGAGGACTATCTGCGTCTCCGGCTGCTCCTCTCTGACCCCCCCCCCACAGCTGGGTATATTTATTTGTGGAGAACAGGCCCATGGCTGCTCATCACACTACGTGACTCTGGGAGGACAACCACTCCTAAGAAAACAATTGTCACAAAACCTCTAGGGAAAAAAATAAAAAAAACAGAGTTAAAATACCCATAATGCAATCGCAGGGGGGGGGCTGTATGACAGAGCCCCCACCACCATCAACCGTATTGGGCCTGTTTAAGCTCCTGGACCAGCTCCGGGGGCCAAAACCAGGGCTTTGTGACCTTCGGTATGACCTTCACTGGAAAGCAGATGGAGGCGACGACTTCCCCCCCCCCCACAATGCCATAAAGCTGGGGAATTCTGGGAGCTGAAGTCCACCCCTCTTAAAAGTTCACTAGAGTGATGGCTGGGGAATTCTGGGAGTTGAGGTCCACCTGTCTTAGAGGTGCTGAGGTTGAGATACTCTGCCCTAGAAGCACCTGGAAGGGTCAGTTCTGCAGGTGAAGTACCTGCCTAGGACAATCTTCGGAGCCAACACTATCGTGGAAAGAAACCCCGAGGTTGCGAGCTCCAGCCTAGCCTTAGCGCAAACTTACACAACTCTCCCCAAAGTAGAAAAGTGCACCAAAAATGCTCCTTACTTCACAGCCGTGTAAGTGTAGGAGTACCCCACAAAGGGAAGCTGCACTCCGAGGGGAGAGGCCTCGAGGACGTCCGACAGGGTCTCCTGGAAAAGAGAGGGAGACAGAAGCAAAGAAATGGAGGGACGTTCCCAGGCGGAGCTGAGCCTTTAGCAGAGAGCCAGGACTAAAGGCAGCACCCCTGATATAAGAGGTTAGGGTCTTTCGGGGGGGGGGGAGAGGATTTTTCTGGATATCCAACTGTTGAAACTATCCTGCTTGCTTCATTTTTTTTCTTCATTTTTTTAAAGAAGAAATTGGACAGCCATTTGTCTGAAGTGATGTAGGTCCTAGGAGAAGGATGTCCAACTTTGGAACTTTAGGATTTGTGACTTCAACTCCCAGAATTCCCCAGCCAGCATGCTGGGAGTTGAAGTCCACAAGTCTTAAAGTTCCATAAGTTGGGCACCCCTGGTCCGGGGTCCCCTTCCACTTCTGTTACAGGTAGCCCTCAACTCAGGGCCACAATTCAGCCCCAAATTTCTGTGGCTCAGTGAGACCGTCGTTAAGTGAATTTCATGACCTCCCTTGACCGTCGTTAAGTGAATTTCATAACCTCCCTTGACCGTCGTTAAGTGAATTTCATGACCTCCCTTGACCGTCGTTAAGTGAATTTCATGACCTCCCTTGCCATCGTTAAGTGAATTTCATAACCTCCCTTGACCGTCGTTAAGTGAATTTCATAACCTCCCTTGACCGTCGTTAAGTGAATTTCATGACCTCCCTTGCCGTCGTTAAGTGAATTTCATAACCTCCCTTGACCGTCGTTTAGTGAATTTCATAACCTCCCTTGACTGTCGTTAAGTGAATTTCATAACCTCCCTTGACTGTCATTAAGTGAATTTCATAACCTCCCTTGACTGTCATTAAGTGAATTTCATAACCTCCCTTGACCGTCGTTAAGTGAATTTCATGACCTCCCTTGCTGTCGTTAAGTAAATTTCATAACCTCCCTTGACCGTCGTTAAGTGAATTTCATGACCTCCCTTGTTAAGTGAAACACTGCAGTTGTTAAGCAAGTAACACGGTTGTTCAGTGACTCTGCCTTCCCCACTGACCTTGTTAGTCAGAAGGGGGTCCTGTGACCGTGGGACCCTGTAATAAACATGAGTCAGTCGTCAACTGTCTGAATTTTGATCACGTGACCGTGGGGACGGTGCAACGGTTGTGTGAAAAATGGTCCCTTTTTGCAATGCTGTTGTAATTTTGAACGGTCACTAAATGAACTCTTGTAAGTTCATCTCAAGCTCAGCCCAGTCAGGAACCAATAGGGCAGCACGGAGCGGACTGGCCCTGGGTGCAGCGGAGAGGAGAGGGGAGAAAAATAAAAGGTCACCTACCCCTCCCCCGCTCACCATGTCGGTGAGGCAGTCGTCCACCACGTCGAAGTTGCACGTGTCGGTGGCGTTGGCGAACTCGGGCACAAAGGACGGGGCGCAGTCCCGCAGGCCCTGCCAATCGATGCCGACGAAGAAGGGGAGCTCCTTGAAGTCCTGGACTCCGTTACGTCCCAGGCGTGTCTCCCGGGAACAGATCAGCCCTTCGATCAAGGCCTGGGCTTCTGGGGGGATCTCTGGGGCCGAGAGGGGAAACCGGAAATGCTCCTTGGAAAATGAGCATTGGGACAAAGGAGGAAGCAACAAGTAAGTAAGCAACAAGCAGGACCGGTCTGGCGTATGGACTGATGATATCACCTAGTTTGGTGATGAGATGTCTGCAAGAAACCCAGACAGCACCAAGAATCCCACAGCCGTCCTCCTTTTCCTCCTCTGCCACTCCACACACCCTACTCCCTCAGCACTGATGATGTTTCCTAGCTGGGTCATGAAATGTCTGCAAGAAAACCACCCAGCTCAGAGAGCACCAAGGACCCCCTACCAGTCTTCCTTCTCCTCCTCTCCACAACCCCTCCTGCCTTCTAGCACTGATGAGTTTACCTAGCTGGGTCATGAAACGTCTGCAAGAAAACCACCCAGTTCAGAGAGCACCAAGGACCCCACAGTCTTCCTCTTCTTCCTCCACAACCCCTCCTGCCTTCTAGCACTGATGAGGTTACCTAGCTGGGTCATGAAACGTCTGCAAGAAAACCACCCAGCTCAGAGAGCAACAAGGACCCCACAGCTCAGCCCTGAGCTACAAAGACTCTCTTCTATCAGTAGAACATGCTATCATCAACAGCCTCACATCTCAGTCCAGAACTGGGCCATGTTATCCCACCCCTCTCAACCCATCCCACTGCCCTCCGGCCACCAACCTTGAAGTGCAGAATCTTCCCGTAGGTCTCCACGACAGAGTCGGCAAAGAAGGGGGTGTGGCCAAAGAACATCTCATAGGCAAAAACGCCCAGAGACCACCAGTCGCATTCTGTGCTGTAGGAATGAACGCCATCTTCCAGTGCTCGCAAGATCTCCGGGGAGAGATAATCCGGGGTGCCCACTGCCACTGTGGAACAGACCTGCCACCGTGAGAATGGGGGTGAGAACCTCGGAACCAGAGTCCGATCGGCCCCATCCTATTTCTGACATGGCCCGGGGGGGGGGTCTTTGGAAAGCCCACAAGTGGGGGACCGAGGTGGGATGCCCCTCAGCCATCCCTGTCAGACTGCCATGAAATATAAGCCTTCCGCTGGTAATCATGGTTTGTGTGTAAGTTTGATGGGAGATCAGAAAGCTCTTTGGATCAAAAGCATGATGGTTATTTTCCTCATGAAGTCCACACTCCTAGAGTAGCCCACCCCACCCGGTTGGGTGTCTCACCGTCCCATCTTCTCGTAGCTTGAGACAGGATCCAAAATCCCCCAGCCGGATGTGCCCACATCGATCGAGCAGGATGTTGTCGGGTTTGATGTCTCTGTCAGGCGGAGAAGGACAGGATCGGCAAAAGGACGGGCAGAAGGACCACAAAGGAACTTGGGAAACACTGGGACTGCAATGCAGCCCGACATTGACGTTGCTAAGCAAGATAGTTGTTAAGTGAGAGCTTTGCCTCATTCCATGACCTTTCTTGCCACAGTCATTCAGTGAATCACTGCAGTTATTAAGTCAGTCACGCGGTTGTTAAGTGAATCTGGCTTCCCCATTGAGTTTGCTTGCCAGAAGGTCACAAAAGGGGATCACGTGACTCCCCGGGGATGCTGCAACCGTTGGAAATATATGAGGTAGTTGCCAAGCATCCGAATTTTGATCACGTGAGGATCAGGATGCTGCAATGGCCATGTGACCACTGGTCATAAGTCACTTTTTTTCAGTGCTGGTGTAACATTGAACAATCACTAAAGCAGTGTTTCTCAACCTTGACAATTTTAAGGCATGTGGACTTCAACTCCCAGAATTCCACAGCCAGCGTTGCTGGCTGTGGAATTCTGGGAGTTGAAGTCCACATGCCTTAAAATTGTCAAGGTTGAGAAACACTGCACTAAAGGAACTGTTGTAAGTTGAGGACTACCTGTATACACAAAGAAGGATGTTCTGAAGATTGTAAACATCTCATGGGATGACCTCTGCCTCTTCAGAACCCACCCTCCACCCCCCAGCCCATGTACCTGTGCACATAGCCCATGCTGTGGATGGAATCAATGGCCATCACCATCTCAGCCAAGTAGAACTGGGCCATCTCCAGCGGGATGCGGTCACCAAATTTGCTCAGCAAGGTCAGGAGGTCACCCCCAACATAATAGTCCATCACCAGGTACTAGAGAAAGGTAGGAGATAAGCTCAGAAGGAGAGATGATTCTGATCTTAGGCAGATTTATTGCCATCTCCATCATACTATAGACTCGACCTAAGTATATCATATATATCATAAAACATAACAGCATAATGTAATGTAATATAACGTCACCCAACATAGCAATCGCACTTAAGACTTCTACACCGCTTCACCGTGCTTGACAGCCCTCTCTAAGCGGTTTACAGAATCAGTCTCTTGCCCCCAACAATCTGGGTCCTCATTTTACCGACCTGGGAAGGACGGAAGGCTGAGTCAACCTTGAGTGGTTGAAAATCAAACTGCACTCAGCAGAAGTAGCCTGCAGTGCTGCATTCTAACCACCGTGCCACCACGGCTCGTATAACACGTAACATAATATTTTAAACCAGTGTTTCTCAACCTTGACCATTTTAAGGCATGTGGACTTCAACTCCCAGAATTCCACAGCCAGCAATGCTGGCTGTGGAATTCTGGGAGTTGAAGTCCACATGCCTTAAAATAGTCAAGGTTGAGAAACACTGGTTTAAACTCTTCTACCCTCCATCTCCTCTATAAGGCGACTCAGAGGTCTAAATAAATCAAAGTCAGCCACATCCACATACATGTGAAATAAATTTCACCCCCCTCGGCTGCACCAAACAACGGGACTCACCAGGTAGTTCTCATCCTGGAAGGCAAAATGCAACTGCGTGATCCAGCGCTTGTCTCCGTTCACCAGGACATCCCTCTCCTCTCTGAAGCAGGAAACCTGGAGAAGAGTTGAGATTTCAAAGAGAGGGACATCCTTGGCCAAACCTTCTGTTTCGTACAGTGACGGGCACAAGCGGATGAGGCTCTATCTACTTCTCTAGTTGGTCTCAGGCCACATTTATTTATTTATTTTATTTATTTATTGAAATTTATAGACCACCCCACTCCCGCAGGACTCCAGGCGGCTAACAATAAAAACATAATATAACAAGACAAACAATACAGTAACATTCATCCAGGGGTCAGATTTTATAAACCCCAGGCCTGCCGGAAAAGCCAGGTCTTAAGCAGCTTGCAGAAAACCAGCAGGGTGGAAGCGGTCCTAATCTCCGGGGGGGGGGGGAGCTGATTCCAAGACGTGGGCGCCATCACAGAGAAAGCCCTCCTCCGCGGCCCCGCCAAATGGCACTGCTTGGCCGACGGGGCCTGAAGGAGGCCCAGCCTGTGGGATCTAACCGGATGAAGGGAACTATGAGGTAGTAGGCGGTCTCAAACAAAACTTCCCTGCCATCAGCGTGGGAAATACAGGCTGTCCTCGACTTATAAGCATTCATTTAGTGACCATCTGAATGTCACTGAAAAAAAAGGGACTGATTTTCACACTTATGACCGTCGCAGCATCCCCGTGGGCATGTGATCAGAATTTGGGCACGTGGCCACTGAGATGTATTTGCGACAGTTGCAGTGTCCCTTTGGGGTCACGTGATCCCCTTCTCTGACCTTCTGACCAGCAAAACCAAGGGGAGGGGAAGCCAGATTCACTTAATGACTGCCTGATTTACTTAACGACTGCAATGATTCGCTTAACAACTGTGGCAAAAAAGGTCGGAAAAACTGGGCGCATCTTGATTAGCCCTGGAAATCCCGGTCTGAATTGTGGTTGTGGGAACCTACAGTCTTTTCTTCGGGAAAAGCTGGACAGCAAACAGCATGTCTTCAGAAAATCTGCACTGAAAAAAAAAATCAAGGCAATTTTGCTTGGATTCTTCGAAATGTTAAAGGAATCCGGCCGGAGGGAGTTATGCAAAACTGGACCTGGCTGGGCACCGATGGAAATGGAAATCCTGAGGAGGTAGCCACGATGGCTTGGCAGATGTTCTGCCTCTACTCTTACCTCTCCCCGTTTCAACATGTCCCATTTATTCATTATTTTCATGGCATACACTTGAGAGGTCTTCTTCTGCTTCACCACTGCCACCTGCACAGGTAAAACAGTCAAGAGAGACACGTGCAAGACAGAACTAACAAACCTCCTATTGTTACAGTAGCTGCCCCGTTATGCTCGCTTGTGCTTTGCTGCTGTGCTGTTACAGACTGCCATGAACTGTGGAGGAGGCGGAATGAAAGGGGGGGAATGTTTGGGAAAATGAAAGTAAGTGCTGCATCTCTTGGAGAAGCTGCCTCAAGGTCACCCAGGTAGAAGCAGGAGGGAACTGCATGCCAAACTACACTGGGACTGTCCGTTAAGGAAACCTCTTGCCTGATTGGTGACACCGGGGTGGGCAATGAGAGATAGTTAAGGGTGGGGAGGAGTAGAAGTTAGGGATTTTGGCCTGTGGTTTCTCAGTTCTGGCTTTGCAACACTGCAATATACTTGCTGTCTAATAAAACAATACTTTTCTGAACAAATGGGGCCAAAGATCGTTTCTGTTTAGAGCAGTGTTTCTCAACCTTGACAATTTTAAGGCATGTGGACTTCAACTCCCAGAATTCCACAGCCAGCATTGCTGGCTGTGGAATTCTGGGAGTTGAAGTCCACATGCCTTAAAATTGTCAAGGTTGAGAAACACTGGTTTAGAGGTTTAAGTTATTCCAGGTCTGACACCTGTATTAGCTTAGGCCTCAGAAGGCTGACATCAATCTTGCCGGTCTGAATGTGCGTCTCCCCTCCTTCCCTTTCGTCAAGACTGAGATGCTTTCTCAGATTGCCTTTCTGCCCTGGGACTCAGATTTCTTTTATCCGACTCTTGTCTTGGTAACCGGATCTTCCTCCTCTTCCTCAAAGTTACTCCCACAGCCCATTACGATGTACTAGCTGCATCCTTCCAAACCTCCTCCCAATCACCCCAGAGTTGTCTAAAAACTTTGGAGTAATTTCCTAAAATAGAGGGACGGTTTCATTTCATACTGCTCCGCCCACCTGAGATTTCTTAGTCATTGCTGGCCACTTCTGCTAGGACAGAGGATCCCACAAATGCTGGTTTTTGCCAGCAAGGACATCCCTTTGGGGGTCCCTACAGCTACCCTCTAGGGTGGCCCGTCTTCCTTCCTCACCTCGCTGAAAGCTCCTCGGCCGATCACTTTTAGGATCTCGAAGTCATCTCGCTGCAGCCGGAGCTGTTTCAGTCTGGAGGTTAGTGGCTCCGCTGGAGAGAAGGAAAAGGAGATTATTGGGGTTCCTCATATAATGCCCACTTTGGGTTAATTAAATTATCTAGGAGCTCTGAACTGGAGAGGTTAAAGGAGGAGATGTGAGACACCCTCTCAGCATGTTCTGGACCTGCCTTAGGGCATGAAAAGCCAGCTGGGTGACTTTGGGCCAATCACCAGGAGACGGTGAGTTCTAGTCCCGCCTTAGGCATGAAGGTCAACTGGCTGGTTGTGGTCTAATCACTTAATATTCTTAAGGGAATCACTGCAGCTGTTAAGTGAGTAACACGGTTGTTAAGTGAATCTGGCTTCCCCGTTGACTTGTCAGAAAGTCACAAAAGGGGATCACATGTGGCTGGGACACGGCAACCGTCATAAATACAAGTCAGTTTCCAAGCGTCCAAATTTTGATCAAGTGATCACGGGAATTCCGCAACGGTTATAAGTGTGTAAAAAAAGGTCACAAGTCACTTTTTTTCAGCGCTGTTGTTGTGACTGCGAATGATCACTAAACAAGCTATTGTAAGTTGAGGACAACTTGCACTCTGTGTGAGATGACCATTTTCCTCAGCAAAAAGGAAGGAGAGAGTCACTCAACGGTGAAATACATTTAGTGTCATATACATTTGATCAATCAATCAATAAGCCCTTTTTCCCCTTGCTTGCGATGGCCAGCCTCTTTAATCCCCCTGCCCCCCTGGTCCTGGCCAAACTCTTGTGTCCACAAATATTAGTAGCCAGGGAAAGGATCGGCACCCCACCACAACCATCCTGGATCTGTGACTCAGCTGGGTGCCAAGGTCTGCCTTCTGCCCGCAGGCCTTAAAAATAGGTTTCCTGCCCGAGCAGGGGGTTGGACTAGATGACCTCCAAGGTCCCTTCCAACTTTACTACTACTACTATTATTATTATAAATGCATGGGTGCCAACTTGAGCGGGGGGGAGGGGGGAGAATCCACGTGACCTGCAACCAGGAAGAGGTCAGGTGGCCCTCAAATTTAACCTCCCCGGGTGACTCAGCTGCCGGCCTGCCCAGATCTCCAGATTTGGCAGCGGAGAAGGAGGATAAAGTCTTCAAGGATCTGAATCCACTTCCTCACATGGCGACCCAAAGATCAAGCGAAGAAATCTGGCTGGCAGGAGAACAGCTCAGCCTGCTGGCAAAAATAGCTGTGATGGAGGCAGCTGGAATGGGACGCCTGCGGGGAGGGGAACCGGAGCGCCCAGAGGCCACGCAGACAGCAGGAGACGGTGGAGGAGGAGGAGGAAAAGTCCCCGACTGGCACCTTGGAGGGGAAGAAGTGAACAGACTCATTCTCCCCAGCCAGCACCTTGGGGAAGGTTCCTCAAAGACTGAAGGAAGAGGGGCTGAGGCAGTCCGACAAAGCTGCTGTACCTCCACCCCCACTCCCACCCACCCTGATTCTGAAGCTGGGTTGGCTTTGAAGCCATTGTGGCAACTCACAAGGAAGTC